ATAGTATAGTATAGAACAGTATAGTATGGTATAGTATGGTATGGTATGGTATAGTATAGTATAGTATAGTATAGTATAGTATAGTATAGTATTGTATAGTGTAGTATAGTATAGTATGGAACAGTATAGTATGGTATAGTATGGTGTATAGTATAGTATAGTATAGTATTGTATAATACAGTATAGTATAGTATAGAGTACAATCCCCTCATATGGCCATCTGACACAGTGGAATGTAAGATTCAGGTTAAAAAACGTTTTTGTTTTAAGAATTTTATTTGCTGTAAAGTATTTATGGTACTATAGATTTTATGTGTTATGAAAAATAAACATTGTTTGAAGTCAATGTCTCTCTCTGTCTGTGTTTTATTAAGATGTTAGGACAAAAAGGTCACAAAATTCTAGGGAATTACTAGTAAGAAAAAAAATTTTGCTTGTAACTTGTAAACTGAATTTTATGGGTTATTTCATGGTTACTGTGTTAAGAAAAGGGCATATTATCAGAGTTAATGTTTTGCTATCAAGAACTGTATGCAGGAAAGTATACTTTCAGCAATGTTTAGTAAAAGATTACAGTTTTTGGTGGTCATGGGAACCCAATCCCCTATTTTTTATAGTTTCAATGCATCAGCATCCATGTTTTTTACTTTTAAACCATTTTCTAGGAACATTACCCCCCTAAAAGCTGAGAAATGACTATATACACATACACATATAGCTATAGAATGGTCATAGATAGATGATAGATAGACAGACAAATTGTTGTTGTTATTCCTCATTCATGTCCGACTCTTTGTGACCCCATTTGGGGTTTTCTTGGCAAAGATACTGGAGTGGTTTGTCATTTCCTTTTCTACCACACTTTACAGATGAGGAGACTTGAGGCTTACAGGGTTAAGTGACTGGCCCAGGGTCACACAGCTACTAATGTCTGAGACAAGAAAACTCAGGAAAATAAGTCTTGACTCCAGGCTCAACATTCTATCCACTGCCCCACCTCGCTGCCCATAAAAAGATATAGATATAGGTATCCATGCATGTGTATATGTAAATATTTTTATATACACACTTTCATGTATATATATATGTGTATTTATGTATGTATGTGTACATCTCCCCTAGGGAGGTTTCTTGTGAGACAAGTGCAAAGTAAACCCAGACCTTAGCACCTACTTAGCAATAGTTACTAATTAGAAAAGGGTCACCACATGTCATGTTTCCTTTCTCTGAGAGTAATTTCTTCAGCAATGGCCTGATAGTGTCCCTGGATCTCTGCTCACAGGAGCTGGTGTCCTGAAGTCTCTTTCTTCTGCTACAAAGAGGTATTTATTCTTCCCCCCAAAGCTGATGGTATATTTTGTATTGCAGTTGGTAGCACTGGCCTTGAGGGCTAAAATGTCCAGGTACAGTTCTGGTAAGCGGGGATTCTATCACAGAATCTGTCACAATTGCCAGGACCCTCTTAGGTTGTCTTCCATCTACTCTGTATATATCTTGTACAAATCTAATTATCAACAAGTCTCTCCCCATTTTAATGCAAACTGAAGGGACTAATTTTGCTGGTTTTTTTTATTACCTCAGTGCAGTTAGCATTTTATAAATACTTGTTGACTGACTGATATAAAGGTTTCTTAAGACAGATCATGTCAAGGAGTCTGTGAACTTAAATGGGAAAAAATACAGTTTTATTTTCACTAGACTCCAACTGAAATTTAGTATTTCAATTATTTAAAAACATTGGGAGAAGGGGTCCCTATAATTCACCAGGGTGTCAAAGGGGTCCATAGCACAAAAAAAGGTTACGAATCTATGTTGTAGATTTAATAAATACTCATTTACTCTCATTTGTGTGTGCAAATGGGTACCAATGGGAAGAACGCCCCCCCTTACTCCCTCTCCAGGAACCCGACGAGCCAAGACAATTGAACTGCAGACTTGCTGCTTCCGCCCTACCTGCTCCATTTTCATCAGGAAACAGTCAATGAAGTCTCGAGGGTCATTGACATCTAGGATTGCTTGATGCTCTTTCACTCTCTCCAAAACAAAGGCACTCAAGTCATGAAAGTTTTTGATTAATTTATGATGAATTCCTGGGAGATAATGGACTAGAGATGGGAAAGAATTGTAGACCTAAAAAGGGAAAAGAATCACACAACTTTTTAAAAAAAATTTTTTTTTATCTGGATACAAGATAAGTTCTTACTCTTGGATACAAGTAGTATTTAGAAGAGGAAACTGATTGGGTAGGCAGAACTCACTGAGGCAAAATGTGGGAGAGTAAAATGGTAACCTCTCTTTTTACTTCCCCCAAACCTCTAAAACCATTTTAGATCCCACCCTCTGTCTCTAGGGCCTCTGTAGTACTTTACTGGAATAGACTACTTAAATAATAAAATACTAGAACACTTTTACTGGATAGAGCATTGGATGTGGAATCAGGATGAGCTGGGCTCTAACATAACCCCTGACACATTAGTTGTGGGACCCAATCAAGTCACTTACCTTCTGTCACCTTGAGTTTTCTCATATGTAAAATGGGGATGAGAATATTGGCCTCACCTGTATCCATGGGGAGCTGAGAATCCTGACATTTTCATTTAAAAGCTCCATTAAATATAGAAATTTCTGATCTTGATAGTCAAAACGTTTCTGGAAAACAACTGAGCAGATGACATTGCAGGGGGCAGATCCAAGGGTGATGGTGGGGTCACAAGGCAGTCCTAAAGAATGGGAAAGATTGAGAGAGAAACTTTAGCATTAGCTTGAAATTAATTTTCCCTGAAACTACAAGAGAAGGTTGATGCATCCAACAAATATAGATTACACCTTAGCTGATACTGTTAAAGTTATAAGCACTTTGTGTTTTTAACCACCAGATGGCATTGTTTACCACTAACTTCATCTTATTCATGAAAAAAATCCAGCTCTGTTAAGTCCCACTGGGATTCAAAGAAATGGTGTTTAAAAAGTCCGTGCCTTCAAACTCCTTGCAATCTAACGCAGGAGGCATTGTGTATATAAATAGGTACATATAAGAAATCTATATGTATATATACATGCACACTCACATATGATGAAGTGTAATCTCAGAGGGCAGGTAGGTGGTGCTGTGGATAGAATGTTATGCCTGAAATTAGGAAGACTCATCTTCTTGAGTTCAAATCTTGCCTCAGACACTTACTAGCTATGTGACCCTGGGCAAATCATTTAACCCTGTTTGCCTCAGTTTCCTTATCTGCAAAATGAGCTGGAAAAGGAAATGGCAAACCACTCCAGTATCTTTGTCATGAAAACCCCAAATGGGGTCACAAAGAGTTGGACACTACTGAAATGACTACAACAATAAAAATCTCAGAAAAGACATTAGTAGCTTGGAGTGGGGATGATGGAAAGACTTCCTGATGAAGGCAGCATGTGAGCTGAATCTTTCTTTTTCTACTTGTTTTTTTTTCTTTTAAAAATTTTTTATCAGAACTTAAACACATAATAAGAAAAGAAAAAGAAACACATTAGAAGCTTATATATTAAAACTTGAATATAAAATAAGAACAGAAAAAATTTAATGTGCACTGCAGAACATAAGACAGGATTCAAAATACATAACAATAAATTTCCATTTCAAGAAACACTATATATTAAATACTACATGTTGTGTTGAGAACTGTCCATGTGAGCTGAATCTTGAAGGAAGCCAGGGATTCTTTAAGAGGGGGTAGTGATGACCAGCATAGTGAGAGATGAATAGCAAATGGGACAGTATGGCTAGAGAGTAGAGGATGAGGAGAGGAGGAATGTGCAAGAAAACTGAAAGAATTAGCAAGGGTCAAGGTTGTGAGCAGCTCATAATGCTGTACAGAGGAGTTTATATTAGATCCTAGAGATAATGGTAAGACATTGGAATGCGGAACAATTGAATAGAAGGAAGTAATCAGGTCATACCTTTGCTTGAGGAAAATCACTTTGGCAACTATGTGGAGGATGGAATAGATTGGGGAGAGATTATTAATTTTCATTTATTGTTATTACTTAATTATAATTTAGTTGTTATTAATTAAGAGATTATTGCAATAGCCCATGAAAGAGATGATAAGCATCAAAAGTAAGGTGATGAGATGAAACAGATGTGAGCTCTGTTGTGAAGGTAGAATCAATAAGACTTGACAACTGATTGGATGTGAGGGAAATTAAAGGGTTAAAAAGGACACTAAGATTGAGAACCTGAGTGATTAGAAATAGGGAAGTTCAGAAAAGGCATAGTTTTTTGTTTGTTTTTGTGAGGGGGAAGACGATGAATTTTGTTTTATACATGTTGAGTTTGTGACATCTACAGGATATCCAGTCTGAAATGTCTAGGAGGCAGTTGGTGATATGGAACTGAAGCCCAGGAGAGAGACTAGATATATACATACAGTCAGTCCTCAGTTCATACATTTAACTTTGTGACTTCCCACAATAGCACGATTTTATCAGTTACCTCATTTTCACTTGTGTTGGCAACAACTCACCTCTGTGGCTATATGTGGCCCTACTAGGCACTTCATTGGTCTTATTCATCCTACTATTGTAGAATAAAGAGCACCCCATGCATTCATTACATGTTTTCATTGTTTGCCTTTAAAACTCAAGTTTTGTGTTCTAGTTATGCCTCCAAAGTATAATGCAAGTTCTCTGAGCTCTAAGGTGATGTCAAAACCTTGCTAGTCTCAATATCTTCTACTAGCAATGACTTAAACCCCATAACTTCTCCTTTGGTTTTCAGAGCACAGCCAAGATAGAGAGGTTCACAGAAGTATGATATAAGGTATAACACCCCTACATCACCATCTGATAGTAGAAGGTGAGATTCAGGTTAAAAATGTTTTAGTTTTAAGAATTTTATTTGTTGTATAGTATTTATGGTACTATGGATGTCATGGGTTATGAAAAGTGAATATTGTCTGAAATCAATTTTTTTTTTAAATTTAGATGTTAGCACAAAAGGTCACAGAATTCTAGGGAATTACTAGCAAGAAAATGTTTCACATGTTACCAATTTTATTTTAGGGTGGCTAGGTGGTACAGTGGATAGAGTAGCAGCCCTAGAGTCAGGAGGACCTGAGTTCAAATCCAGCCTCAGACGCTAGCTGTGTGACACTGGATAAATCACTTAAGCCTGTTTGCCTCAGTTTCCTCATCTGTCAAATGAGGTGGAGAAGGAAACAACAAACCACTCCAATATCTTTGCCAAGAAAACCTCAAATGGGGTAACAGAAAGTTGGACAAAACTGAAATGACTCAACAACAAAATTTCATTTTGAGTACTGCATATTATGGGTTATTTCATGGTTACTTTGTTAGGAAAAGTACATATTATATGAATTAATATTTTGTTATCATTTCATTTTGTGTACTGCATATTATGGGTTATTTGATGGTTACTTTATTAGGAAAAGTACATATTATCCAAATTAATATTTTGTTATCAAGAATTTTATGAAGAAAATCTCTTGTATTCAGTAATCTCTTGTGAAAGATTACAGATTTTAGTGGTACTGGGAACCTAACCCATAGGTTTCAATGTATTGTTTCACATAGGTTTAATGTATCAACATTTGCCTTTTTTTACTTTCACACTATTTTCTAGGAACATTACCCCTGCAAAAGTTGAGAATTGTCTGCCTATACATCTTGGAGTTATCTGCATAGATATGATAACTAAACCCATGGGTAGCTGAGGAAGTCACCAAGTAAAAGTAAAGAAAGAAAAGAGAAGAATGTTGAGGTCAAAACACTGGGCTACACCCACAGTTAGTGGACTGAAGATCTGAGAACAGAGGACTGAGAAGAAGTGATCAGATAAGTAGGAGGAGGGAATGGGGGGACAGAGAAAGAGAGAGGCAGAGTCACAAAAACCCAGAGAAAAGAGAGTGCCCAGGAAGAGAAGGTATTCGTCAATGGTGTCAAATGCTACAGAAGAGTCAAGAAAGATGAGGTTTAAGAAAAGCTATTATTACTATTGTCCTTTTCAGTTGTACCCAACTCTTCATGACCCCATTTAGGGTTTTCTTGGCAACAATACTGGAGTGGTTTTCCATTTCCTTCTCCAGCTCATTTTATCGATGAAGCAGCTGAGGCAAACCAGGTCAAGTGACTTGCCCAGAGTCACACAGCTAGTAAGTGTCTGAGGCCAGATTTGAACTCAGGTTTTCTAACTTCAGACCCAGCACTCTATCTGTTGTACCATCTAGCTGCCCAAGATAGCTGTAAGCTCTTGCAATTCCTATAAGTGACTTCAAATGAAGCAAAGTTATTTTCCCATGGAATTTGTTAAGGAGAAGATGAGGGGCAACCCAACTGATGCCCTCATCTACTGGGTTTTTAAAAATTTATAGTTTTCCTAGATTGTGAGCCAGTGTGGTTCAGTGAAAAGAGAGCTATGTTTTGAGGAGTCTCTGGACTGAAAATCTGGCTATTTACTATTTGTGTGACATTAGGTAATTTTTCTGGGCCTCAGTTCCTTATCTGTAAAATGAGAAGATTGGAGAAGATGACTGTTGTGATCCTTTCCAATCTTAAATCTATGATCATAAAAACCAAACCATCCATTCTCTTTACTGTACACAATTAAAGGGACCAACATTCATAGAATCATAGATGTTTTATCTGGAAGGGACCTTAAGACTGTGTAGCCCAACCCGTTCATATTGTAGATTAGAGATTTTGAGAGGTTAAGATCACACAGGTCATAAGTAGCAGTCAAGATTTGAACCCTGGCCTTTTGGTTTCACACCCAATATTCTTCTACCTCATTATGGTCATAAGGAGGCTCAATAGAAACACATTGCTTCTTACTGGAGCAGGAGTGGGGAAGAGGGAAATGATCCATTATTAGAGAATGTTACAGCTAGAAGGAAGCTTCCAATTACCTCATTTGACAGATGAAGCAACTGAGGAACAAGGACATTAGATGGCCTTATACAATGTCCCACAATTTGTGGCAGGGCTAGGACCAAAATTCAGGCAGATCCCTTGATTGTCAGCCCAGTATTCACTCTATACTATCTCACTTTGGTGATCTCATCAACTCCCATTGATTCACTTATGTCTATACAGATGATTCCCGGCTCTATATAACCAGTCTTAGTCTTTCTGTGGAGCTACAGTCATGCATCTCTAACTGCCTCTTGGACATCTCCAAATGGATATCCCATAAGAATCTTAAACTCAACAGGAGCAAGACAGAATTCATTCTTTGCCCCAAAACTCTCCCTGCTACCCAGCTCCCAGATTACTGTTGAGTACACCACCATTCTCTCGGATACCAAGGTCCACAACCTTGGAATCATTCTTAACTTCTCATTCTCAATTCACATATCCAATCTCTTGCCAAAACTCATTATTTCTAGCCTTATAACATCCCTCACATTTGTTCCCTTCTCTTTGCTCATACAGCCACAACCCTAGTTCAGGCTCCTATCACAACTTTCATGAGCTATTGTAGAAGCCTTCTAATTGGTATTCTTGCCTCAAGTCTCTCCCCTTTCCAATACATCTTCAGTTCGGCAGCCAAGGGGATTTTTCTGAAGCATACATCAGACCATGTCACTGCCCCGTTCATTGAGCTTTAATGGCTCTCTATTACCTCTTAGACCTCTTCATCACCTGGCCCCTTCCTACCCTCCCATCGCCTTATACTTTGCTCTCTTCCCCTCACTTCATGATCTAAGGAAACTGGCCCACTTGTAGTTCCTCACACATATCAATCTATCTCCTGACTCCATGTCTTCAATGTTCTATCCCCCACCTCTGCCTTTTATTTTTGCTGGATTTCTTCAAGATTCACCCCAAACCCCATCTTCTTTGGCCTTTCCTGGTCCCTCCAGCTTGCAAATATCTTACCCTTTCAGATTACCTTCACCTACTCTGTGTACATCACAAAAATAGCTAGTTAATTATATGTTGCCTTCCCTTCAGAATATATGCTCTTTGAGGACAAGGATTTTGGGGTGTCCAGCAAGGAGATAGTTTTCTTTATAATCCTTGCATTTAGTATAGTGTCCGGCACATAGTATGTACTTAATCAATGCTTGTCGATTGACTTTCCAACTCACTTTCTCTCCCAGAAAGTCAATGTGAACTTTATCAGTAGTTCTTGCACTTTGACTCTTCTCTTGCCTTCTTCAGTAGCCTCCAACCTCTAAAGCTATCAGAGATTACCACAAAACTTAGAGCAGAATAGACCTGAAAAGGCCACACACCCAAGATGTGTGCAGATTACAGTATGTCTTTTAAGCTCAACTTTGATCCATGTGAATCATTAGAGAAATAATATTTGCTATGATTAATGATGAAAAGTAAACGAACACCAACCTTTTGTTTTTTTTAATTCTTCCACCAGGCACTTGGCTTCTTCTTGGACTTGTTCCTCAATGCTCCTCTTCCCCATCCCAAAATTCCTTAGGGTCATGAGTGAGAAGCGGCGAATTTGCTTCCATCTCTCTCCATTACTGAAAAGGAGTCCTATGAGGGGGAGTAGAGAGAAAATAGGAAAAAAAATTTTCTGAACTGAATTCTGACAGGAAGATAAATGAGAGAGAAAATGGGGCCAACTCCAGCAATCAAGAATATAAGCACCATTAGTTTCAATAACTTTCCCTGCCCCTCAAAGTCTTTTATTCTATCACCCCCAACAAAGTTCGTGCTCAAGGGCTCATGGCCCAGAATCTGAGTTCTAGAAGAACAGGATAGGGTGCAGGGAAGGAGTGGCCAATTTGCTTCTTTCTGTCTCAGCTGTGTTTTCTGCCCCATTCCATACATCCCACACCACACTCACCCACCACCATGGCCACCTTGGGCAGCTCTACAATCTCATCCTACTTCTGGCAAGAAGAGGCTATCAAGCTAAAGTCCAGAATGGATTCAGGTTGTCCCTGAAGGTCTTAGAATAGGTATCAAATACATTAATCTTATTTCTTTACTTCTGCATCTTTTGGTCCAGAGGACCAAAGGGATTGTGATAGTTTTTGAGGCAGACTGAAGTCCTAATCTTCCTAGACTACACTGGGGACCAGAGAGGGAACTTGGTTTTTGTATTTTGTGGGTTACCAGATTTGTGAATCAAAGGAATTCTCTTCACATGGTATTCCTGTATTTTTGTAAGTGTCTCATCATATCTTTGGGGCCAAGATAAAAGAAGACATTGGTCAGATTGCTCAGATTGTTGGAAGTTTCTGATAGACCCAGGACATCCAGGGTGGATATTCAGCTAGAGGAGACAGATCTGGATGCATATCCCACCTTCACTGTGTGATTGTATTTCATGATTCAATCCTAGGACCCCTTCCTTTTTTCCCTCTCTCCTTTCTTTATCAGTGATCTACTTTGCTCCCATAAGCTCAATGATCTATGACTTTTATGTAGCTACTTTCCAAAGCTACGTATCTAGCCCTCAGTCTCTCTCCTGAGTTCCAATCACATCAACAAATACTTGCTGGACATCTCCATCTAGATGTCCCATAAACATATGAAACTAAAAATTTCCAAAACAGAACTCAGAATTTTCTACTACAAACCTACACCTCCCTTATTTCCACTGGGGGCACCACCATCCTTCCATGCTATTTTCCCATATTTATAATCCTTGAGTCAGTCCTTAATTCTTCACTCTTCACTCTTCTGGAAGCTAGGTGGCACTGTGGATAGAGCACTGGGCTTCAAGTCAAGAAGACATGAGTTCAAATTCAACCCCAGACATTTACTAGCTATGTGACCCTGTTCAAATTACTTAACCTCAACCTGCCTCAGTTTACCCAACTGTAAAATGAGGATAATAATGTCACTAATCTCCCAAGGTTTTTTTGTGAAGATCAAATGAGATAACATTTTTGAAGCTTTTGTCATAGTGCCTGGCACACAGGTGCCTAATAAAAGTTCGTTCCCTTCTCGATCACCCTCCCCTCATCTAGCCATTATCAAGTCTTGTCCAGTCTATCCTCATGACATATCTTGCATCTATCTTCTCTTCACTCACAAAGCCACCACTTTAGTTCAGGCCCTCACCACCTCTAGTCTGTAGTATTGCATTAAATTCTTAATTGGCCTGCCTGCATTCAGACTCCTTTCTGATCTGAACTCCACACATATGCCAAAGTGATATTCCTAAAGTACAGGTCTGACTAGGACACTCACTTTCTCAGTAAGCTCCAGTAGCTCCTTATTGCCTTTGGGATCAAAATTTCTTCTACTTAGAATTTAAAGCCATTCATTACTTGCTTCCACCCTACTTTTCTAAGCTTACTAAAATTACTTACTTTCACATACTCTAAGGTCTAACCAAAGTGGGCTTCTTGTTTCTTAAACACGACTTTCAATCTCTTATCTCCAGGGCTATGTATAGCCTGCCTTCCATGCTTAGAATGCTCTCTTCTTATCCTACACTTCTTAGAATCCTTACCTTTCTGTGAGACTTACTCTAAATGTCCCCTCCTACAAGAAGTCTTCTCTGATTGCCTCAGTAGTTTGTGCTTTCCTCTAAACCCCAAGTTACTTTGTGCTTATTTTGTATAGGTTTTATTTTTATTTATCTGTATGTATCCCCCTCCCCCACTTACACCTTACATAACAGAACGTAAGCTCCTTGAGGAGGGCTGTGACTGTTTTATTTTTGGTTTTGTATCTTTTATGCCTGGCACAGTATCTGACATATAGCAGGCACTTAATAAATATTCATTCAATTGAATTGATATGTAAAATTTCTCCATTTTCTTGGAATGCTATTTTTCCACATTCCTCATTTTACCTGGATTCTCTGTCTTACATTGAACAGAAACATACCCAATCCCTTGTTAATGGTGTCAGACACTGGGAAACTTCCTCTGCCAGCAAATGCATCTCCATGACCAATCAGAGCTTCCTTAATTGCTTTATGTCCATGTAACACGATAGCACGCTCAGAACCCAAGCACAGAGTGAATACTGGGCCATAAGTTTTTGCCAGCTGCAATAGGAAATGTAGAAGGCAATTTGATCAATTTGATAATAAACAGCTTGGATTGACATTGCTAATCTCATTGCAGAAATTTTCAACTCATTAATAACTCCATCATGATATCTTTGACATTTACATCAAAGAGAGTCCAAGGAAGACATACACTTTGCCCAGAGTGTAAATGGTGGAAAAGCCTAAAGCTGTGGAATAGCAACCAGCAGAGTGGCTGGTGAGGTGTAGTTTATGCCCCTAGAGCAGGGTTTTCAACTTTCTCCTTAACTCAGCCTCTCGGAATATCCAGTTTCCTTTAAAACTGAACCCATGTATCATCTCCTATGGGAAGCATTTCCTGATCTCCAAAGTAAGTAGCATTTTCTCCCTCTTTATGAAATTATAATGCATCTTCTTAGTTATGTACATGATGCATTCTTTCATTAGAATCTAAGCTCCCTGAAGGCAGGGTTTATTTTCTTTGCATCTCTTGTACCTGGCATAGTACCTGGCACATAATATGTGATTAATGAATGCTTATTGGATTGGATCAAATGGGAGCAACTGTTTTCCCTTCATCTGAAACATTGGGAGCATTAAGGTTGGGAAAGCAGAGAGGTATTGGTGAAGAAGCCTCAGAGCAAGGCAGGCAATATAGTCAGAGGAGTGAGTAAGAGGAGAGGAAGTGAAGGCAATGAGGGTAGACAACTTTTGCCAGCAGTTTGGCTAGAAAAAAGTTTCATCCAGGGCAGCTAGGTGGTGCAGTGGATAGAGCACTGGCCCTGAAGTCAGGAGGACCTGAGTTCAAATCTGACCTCAGACCAAACACTAGATACTTACTAGCTGTGTGACCCTAGGCAAGTCATTTAACTCCAATTGCCTAAAGAATTAAAAAAATAAAAAAAATTTCACCCATAGCTTGGGGCATACCCCCAAGACTCTGTCCTGGTCCCTCTTCTCTCTTGGTGAACTCGTCAGTTCCCATGCATTTAGTTAGCATCTCTATGCTGATGACTTCCATATCTATATATCTAGACCTATTCTCTCTCCAGAGCTCCAGTCCTACATCACCAACTGTCTATTGGACATTCCAAAATTGATGTTCCAAAACCATCTGAAATTAAAAAACACAACCACCACCATATATCAGGCCCTCATTGCATCTCACTTGGATTATTGCAATGGCTTACTAAGTAACCACTCTATCTTATACTTGGAGATATCAAGATTTATGGTGATGCTCTCTCAAATAGCCTACTCTCCCAGTTCCTCAGTCTCCTTAAATCAATCCTATCATTTACTCTTCCATTGCATTTCAGTCACACACAGAGATGGTCATACCCTACCTCACCATTACCCACAAATTGAAAGCACCAACATTCCTCTAAGAATAATCTCCTATCATAACATTTTCCCCTATGTCTTATCTCTCCAAAACCTATCTTTTGTACCAACTGTAATACCTAAACCTCATTACTTTCTCAATCCATTAACCCTGCTCACAATTTACCTTCAACCTTTCCGATCTCAACCATTTCATCTCCACATTGTCCTCCACTCTTGAATCCCAAACCTTCTGTCCTATCTGCACTCATGATTTGCCAAACCCCAACATTGGATTACTCCTATTGCCAGCCTTCTCTGCTCCTGCTTATATCCTGTTGAATAGAAATGGAGGAAGTAATAAAACTAAACAAACTTGATAAATTATAAACTTATATTATTTAACTTCAACTGAGCCTTCACTGTGGTAAAATAATCATTTTATTCCTCTTTAATTGATTCTCTATCTAACTCCTCACAGAAGCTAAGCCAAAATCTTCTCTCCTCAAGTCTCCTGCACTTCCTTCTATCCACTTTCTTTCATCTAGAGAAAGTAAAGGGTCTTGCCTTTTATTTTACCAAGAAAATTGGTAGTCAGCTCATTTACCATTTTAATTTACCTCTTCTCATCTTCTTTTCATCTCAAAATTCAAAACATCATTTCCACTCAGTCCTCTTTTCTCCCAGCCTCTGAAAATCAGCCAGCTTTTCTTCTTATCAAGGTCAAGCTCTCTATATGTGCCCTTGACTCCATTCCTTTCTGTTTTCTCCAGCAGATTGCAATCTCATTGTTCTCTCTTAGCCTCAAATCTTTCTTCTCCAATTCACCCTCCTCTCAGTGTCTAAAGAGATTTTTCCTGAAGTGTAGGTCTGACCATATTACCTCTTTACTCAATATACATCAGTGGCTCACTCTTACCCATGGGATCAAATATAAAGTTATTAGTTGACATTTAAAGCTCTTCACAACTTGGCCCCTTTGACTTTTTGAGTCTTTCTATACTTGACTACCCTAAATTCACTCTAAAATTCATGCTGCACTAGCCTACCTGCCATTGCTCACTGTCTTTTTCCTGACATAATGCATTTGAACTAACTGTTCTCAATTTCCTGGAATGCTCTTCCTCCTTCACTCTGCCTCCTGGCTTCCCTGGTATTCTTCAAGATTCATTTCAAATCCCATCTTCTGCAGGAGTCCTTTCCCATCCTCAGCCCCTTCCCATCAGCCATTGTTAGTACCTTCCCTCTGAAATTACTTTCCATTGATGATCTATATGTATGTATGTGCACCTCTCTCTCTCTCTCTCTCTCTCTCTCTCTCTCTCTCTCTCTTTCCCTTTCTGTCTCTGTCTCTATCTCTCTGTCTTTCTCTTTTATTCCCTTCTACTTTTCCTCCCTCCCTTATTATCTCCCTGTCTTTGAGTTTAATAGAGGCTTTTGATCAATTGATTGACCTCCTCTTTTCAGTAGGTATCCCAGCATTTTAGGATCATAGGGTTAAAGCTGAAAGGATCTTAAAAATCACTTAATACAGGTCTACTGTTAGATATTCAATTCAAATCAATATATAGTTCTTAAGTTTGTATTATGTACCAAGTGCTGTGCTAGCCACTAGTTCTCTTTAAAGAGAGGTCTCTGGAGGGAAACAAAGATTCTGGAAAGATGAAGACATGTAGAGGAACTGATACCTTGATCATGTCCCTTTCTCAGCTTGCCTCCCAAGAGACTTCAAGGAATTCCCTTTTGAATGAGATTGAGGACTCTCTCACTCAGTTGAATTGACATCTCTTGGCCCCAGTGGGAGAACTAATTCACTGTCTATTGTCTGGGACATTCTCATCTGTGTAACTTCTCAAGATTTCTGTTTGCTATTGGACTAGATAAATGGGTTGTTTATTATTCACTGCAAGCCACATTTAAATAAACTATGTGGACACACACAACCTACATACAAATACTTACCAGGCAAATGGATTTATTGATATTCTTAGTATCTAACTGCAGCATATTTCCAATAATTGGAAGAGGAGTAGGCCCAGGTGGGAACTTTCCTTTTCCATAGCCCCTTCTCCATACTGAAATGAGAAGCAGACAGAGTACCAGGCCAAGAGCAGTGACCACAGATGAATCCATGGGACTTTTTCCTTACTGCTACAACACTGGAGAGTTTAGAATCCAAAGCTTATGAGAAACACACAGGAGATCAGCAAGCAAACAACTCCTTGTTGTCTTGGGCAATTATGGCTTTACTTCTAATGGACTTGGACCTACTGGTAAAGATAAAAAGGTGAGACTCCCTTAATTTATTTTGAATTTTTGATGGAGACCATATCTACATAGTCAATGACCTGGTAACAAACTGAGAAATGGCCATTCATCACCTGGTCATTTTAGAATGATAAAATTATTTATTTCAAAGAAATTACTGAAGCAGGGTACTAGCTAGAGGTGGTAGACAACAGAAGGGTTTTTTTTTTTAATCCTCTATTGGTATCTTTTGCTTTTATATTTCACCTTCCTCCCCTCCCCAGAGAGCCATCCCTTAAAGCAAAGATTGTGTGTGTGTGTGTGAGTGAGTGGGGAGGGGAGGATCCATTCACCAAAACCACCAGATCAGCCAAGTATGGCGGTATATGCAGTGTTCCATAACCATTGTCTAAACTCTGCAAAGAAGGGAGGGAGAATTTCTTTTTCCAGTGTCAAGCTTGATCTTTATAATTACACAGTGTTTAGTTTAGTTTTTGTGGTTATTATTCTTTCGGTTTATATTGTTGTATTCATTATGCATATTGTTTTCCTAGTTCTGCTTGCTTCATTTTGCATCAGTTCATGTCACTCCATGCTTCTCTGTATTCTTTAGTTTTCATTTCTTAAAGTGCATTGATAATCCACTTCACCATGTATCACAACTTGTTGGCTATTACCCAATTACTGACATTTATTTTGTCTCCATTTCTTTATTACAACAAAAAGTGCTGCCATAAAGATTTTTAAGTAGTTGGCATTCTAATAGAAGAATGAATTCTCAGAACTATCCCCAATGGCTATGGGACATTATAAAAAGTGACATTTATCTTTGATATGTTTTAAAAATCATTCTCCTTATCAGTTTCTTTCTAAAAAGATAGATTTTTGTGTCTTCTGTTTTTACGTCACCTAGATTTCCCCCTTCCCAGAGAACAAATGCTTACTTTTTCCTAATATTTGGGGAAAAAATCTGAGGTGATATGCAATATTCCACAAGCATGGATCCCTCCATCAACTCCTGAAAGGAGGTGGAAAGGTCTTTGGGTTGAGCTTGCTCATTATAATTTCATAATATTCATCTTCTGATCTGTTTTACGTTTGTCCTTTCCGTTTACATTGATGGTTTCTGTTTAAATGAACACTTTAACGAGAGTGGGACGGGGCTCTGAGGAATATTGCGCACACTGCGATACCTGGAGAGGTGAAATGACTTGCCCCAGGCCACAGAGGAGGCAGACTCAAAATCCAGCCCCCTTTGAAATTTCATCGCGTTGCATTTACGTTAGCAATCTCGCGGTGTTCTTTTTTTAATGCCATTAGAAAAGTACTCTGTGGCTATAGAAATGGGTTGTTATTAATCTAAGGCTGTTCCCTTCTGAAAGAAACTGGGGATCAGAGATTTGGAGCTGTCAGAAAGGGGTATCAGAAACCACCACTTACCATTTCCTCTTTAATTGGGATTTAGCCAAGTCACAGAGCTAAGTGGGCGGGTAGAGGTGCTGAGATGAAAGTCGTCTGACTCCGGATTCAGAGAGTTTTACACTATATCACCCAAGAGCCACTCCCTGTTAGCAAAGGGAAGTTGGGGCGGGGACCTTATGCTCCGACCTCTTTGCTAAGCCTGGTTCTCCACTCATTCTCTCTGTGAGTGTGGGACTCACACCAACTTCCCGCTAATTCAGATGCTAAACAGAAGATAATCTATTCTCTTTCTCCCCAAGACTAGGCTTCACCATCTCTACTTTTGCTCTTTTCGTTTCAGTATCTCCGCTTCCTTCCCGAGCATCCGGATTTCTGAACTACTACCACATCATGAAATCTCGACCAATAGGACCGATGTTGCGTTTGACCTTAATCCTGGGGCTTTAACTGATCATCGCCTGAAGCTAAGCGAAACAGAACAGGACAGAACAAAACAACACAGCAAAAGGGAGCTGGGAAGGGTTAGGAGAATGAAGGGAGGGGTGATGCTCATTCATTAAGTCACACTAGCCTTCACACTAGATTGAACAAACTAACTTCCCAAAGAACTATTGGGATTTTCAGGTGGAGAAACCTTGATCTAGTTAATGGTGGTGTCGCGGAAAGCTCTCTGGACTCTTATTCATAAATCTCAGACCTTGAAGGGACTTTAAAGGCTACTAGTTGTGACATCCCTGGCAAGCATTCATCTATCTTCTGCTTGCAAACCTCTGACGATAAAGAGCCCACGACCCCCTCTACTCTCTTTTGGAGAACTCTAATTGTTAAGGAAGTGTTACTATCCTACATAGTTTCATGTTACTTTCAAGTCTGATAGACATTTTATGCTTTCATCACAGTCGCTGGAAAAAAAAAATGTTGAACAGTTCAGGACCAAGAACAGATACCTGGGACCCTGTATTAGACACCTCTTTTGTAGTTGACATCTTCCTATTAATGACTACTCTTGGAGTATGGTCATTCAAGTAGCTCTGAATCTACTTAACTATTGTATCACCTAGCCCATATCTTTCCATCTTGTCCTCAAGGGTAACCTAAGGGATTTTGTCAAATATATATACTGTCGACATATATATCTATATCTGCATCTCTATATATCCATATCTATATATATCAACAGTATTCCCCAATCATCCTGGATTGTAACTATGGAATCATCTGTTATTGTTTTCCTTTTTTAGTTTAATTTAATTTTTATTCTACACTTAAGCACCAAAAAAAAACAAACAAGCATTTCTATATATAAAGTAGATCAGATTTTATATGGTTACATGAATCTCAATTACATGCAAGCTCCCTTTTTAAAGTCCATAAAGTATCTGTTACCTTTTAAACTGTACTACTTTGTCTTTCTGAACTTCCTTTTTTTATCTTCTGTGCATTTTCTGTTAAATGGCTCTTCTTTAGGGTAGAGCAACATTATCACTACAGGCATACCTCAGAGATGCTGGAAGTTCAGTTCCAAACCATCACAATACAGCAAACATTTCAATAAAATGAGTCACACAAATTTTTTTTGTTTCCCAGTGCATATAAAAGTTATGTTTATACTATAATGTAGTTTATTAAATGTGAAATGGTATTATGTCAAAAACATATATACCTTCATTTAAAAATACTTTATTGCTAAAAAAAATAAGTTAACCATCATCTGAACCATCAGTGAGTCATAATCTTTTTGTTCATGGAGGATCTTGCCTGGATGTTGATGGCTGCTGACTGATCAGGGTGGTGGTGGCTCAAGGTTGGTGTGGCTGTGGAAATTTCTTGAAATAAAGAAGTTTGCCACCATCCATTGACTCTTCCTTTCATGAAAGAGTTTTCTGCAGCATGTGATGCTATTTGATAGCATTTTACCCACAATAGAACTTCTTTCAAAATTGAAGTAAATCTTCTCAAACCCTGTCTCTGATTTATCAACTAAGTTTATGTGATATTCTTCAATTTCGTTGTGTCTCAGGGAATAGGGAGGCCCAAGAAAAAGGAGAGCAAGACAAGGGAACAGCCAGTCAGTGGCGCAGTCAGAACACATACAACATTTATTGACTAAGTTCATTGTCTTATATGGGCATGGTTAGTGGTGCCCCAACACAATTACAATAGTAACATCAAAGATCACTGAATACAGATCACCATAACAGATATCATAATTTTTAAAAGCTTGAAATGTTGTGAGAATGACCAAAATGTGCCACAGAGATGTGATACGAGCACATGCTGTTGGAAGAATGATGCTGATGGATTTGCTCAATGTAGGGTTGCCACATACCTTCAGTTTGTAAACAATAACAACAACAATGACATCTTTGAAGTGCAATAAAGCAAAGTGTAATAAAAGAGGTATGCCTGTACTATCTTATCTCCTCAATTCCTTCCTACACCTCACTAAAAGAATAAAATCCTTGCAACTTATAGCATAGTCAAGCAAACTAAATCCACACTTTGGCCATGTCCAAAAATGTGTCTTATTCTGTACCTTGAGGCCATTAACTCTCTGTCAGGAGGAAGGTTCATCACTGATCCTTTAGACTTGTGATTGATCATTGAATGGATTAGAGTTCTTAGTCTTCCAAAATTTCTTTCCTTTACAATGTTATTATTACTATACAAATTTTTACTTTATAAAATGGTTCTGTACTTTGGAGAGAGCAGCTTTAATTGCATGATCAGTTTGGAAACCAGATTGCAAAGGATTGAGAATGAATGAAAAGACAGCAAAAGGAAATGGTAAGTGACATCAGCTTACTTCCCAGGCTCCTCTGAAATTGCCATTTATTGCAAAACAAAAATATTACATTATAATCATATACTATGAGTTGTTCACCCATTCCTCTTGATGGGTACTTCCTTTGCTTCCAGTAATTTGCTAAAATAAAAAGAACTGTTATAAATATCTTTGTCAATATGAATATTCTTCTTTGTCATTCGATCTCTTTGGAATATTGGCCTGGTAGACAAAGAGCATGTATAATTTTATAACTTTTGGGGTATAGTTCCAAATTGCTTTCCAGAATGGAAAGGACCATTTGTTTTCCCAACAGTATGTTAGTATGCTTATTTTCCCATAATCTTTCCAACAGCTAATATCTTCTTTTTTTTGTCAACTTTGCCAGTCTGGTGGGTATGGAAGTATAAACTTAGAGTTGTTTTCATTTCAATTTCCCTCTTAGTGATTTGGAGCATTTTTTCATATGGCTGTTGGTAACTTGGATTTCTTTATTTGACAACTTGCTATTAGTATCTTGTTCAAATGTATTGAAAAAATGGTTCTTAGACTTAAAATTTTGAACAATTCTTTATATAGCTTGTAAATTAGACCTCCATTAGAAAAATTTTATAGAAAAAAATTCTCCATTTGTTTACTTTCTAACTTCAATGACTTTGTTTAAATTTTATATAATCATTGTCAATTTTATCTTCTATGATCCTATCTATCCTGTTTTTGGTCATAGACTCTTCCCATCTGTGATTATGAAAGGTATTTCCTTCTCTCCTCCTCTAATATGTTCATGATGAGTCCTTTTTATATATAGGTCATGTATCCATTGGGAGCTGATCCTGGTATATAGTATGAGATATTGGTTTAAACTTAATTTCTCTCAGACTTCCTTCTAACTTTCCCAGAAGTTTTTAGTGAATAGTATTTACCCCAGTAGTTAGAGTATTTGGGTTTATTAAATAAGTACTGGTATGTTGCTTTTGTTTATTGTATGCCTAATCTATTGGACAGACAAATTTCATTATTTTTTTCAGTTCCATAAGGTAATCTTCTGATAGTTTCATTGCTATAGAGCTGAATAAGTAAATTAGCTTAGGTAGTATTGTAATTTTTATTAGATTAGATTGGCAGTTGAAATATAACCATGTACAATCATCTTTCCAATTATTTAGGTCTTTATTTCTATAAAGGTGGTTTGCAGTTGTATTTCTCCATTTTATTTTTCTTGTATTGTTACTATTTCTAGCATTTTATCAAATAATAATTGTGATAATGGATATCCTTGCTTTACTGCTGATCTTACTGGAAGAGATTCTAGCTTATCTCTATTACATATCATGTGGGCTTTTGGTCTTAACATTATTTACTATATGTGAGGGACTGTCTGATGTTGGCAGCTACCAGGTTGAGCGCTGTGGCAAGAGTAGGGTAAGATCTGGGTATTTTGGAAGTCGAGGCAGGGGCTGTAGTAGGCAGAGTCATGGTGAACTGGGATGGGCTGGATACGGAGAAGCCCTGAGGCAATGGGCAGTGCTTTGTGAGATAAGCTGGGTACAAGGAAGTAGCTGGAGCTTGAGCTCCTGAGGCAAGGGGCAGTGCCACGTGGGAGTGGGACGGCAGAGGACTGAGTTCCCTTTGCTTAGTCCCCTCCCTATATGCAACGTCATCCCCAGATGCCTCTTGTGACCTTCCTGACTTCCTGGGTCCCTTTGTGCAGGACTGACCCAGACCCCTCCTCCCAGTGTCTGAGTCTGACTTCCTAGGTCACGTACTCTTGTCTATGCGCCAATCCCAGATGCCTCCGCCCTGTATCTGGTCCTAGCCTCCTACGTCACTCCCTCCCCCTTGGTGTGCTAAACTCAGACAGCCCCTTCAGGAATCTGACCCTACAATCATTGGCTAGTAAGCGGGCTGGGGAGGAGGGGCTAGGTAGGTACTTAGGAACGAGCGTGGTCAGATCACACACGCGCTCTCTCCTGGCTCCTGCCCTGTTGCTCTGGCCTTGCTGCTTGGGCTTGCTATGATGGCTTGCTGTGATGGCCTCTGAATAAAGCTCTGGTGTTGGTGCCTCCCGATGGCTCGTCTCTGTGTGGTTATCCGGCAGAGGACCGAAGACTCGAGTGTGAGTAAGACTCTGGTAGTGTGCTCCTTATAGGAGGAGCGGGTACCGGCGTACGGCCAGCAGAAGGTCGGCGTGCGGCCTGTATAACTATATAAAGCAAATTTTCATTTATTTTCAAGTTTTTTAGTTTTTTTAAAAAACAAATAAATGTTGCATTTGGTCAATGTTGTATTTTCTGCATCTCAATGTAATTATGTCACTTTAATTATTTACATTTTAAATATGGTCTGGTATGTTTTCCTAATATTAAACCAATCCTGTATACCTGGTCTGACTAGTATTCCCTCTGCCTCACTCTCTTAGAGCAAGGCCAGATACAGCCTTACTCCCCTTAGGATTCTAGTGATACCACTGAAGGAACAGGGTATGTTTATGTGCCAGGCACTGTGCTAAGCAAGTTAGGTGCTATTATTACTCTCATTTTACAGTTGAGGAAAGTGAGGTAAACAGTGGTTAATTGATTTGCCTAGGGGTACACATATCTGACACAAGATTTAAACTCAGGTGTTCCTGACTCCAGGCCCAACATTCTGTCCATGTACCATCAGCTGCCTCTGACATTAGTAATTTGGTTTTCCTCTCTCTTTTTCAATCATACTAGCTAATGATTTGCTTATTTTATTGACTTAAACAGATAATTTTGTTAATTTCACATTGGATATTCAGAATTTCAGTTCTGTGTAGCTGATGATTCTTTTTTATCTGCAGTTTTCTTGGTTGTTAAACTGATAGTTTTTTTTTTTTAGTTGCATGCCCAATTAATTAATGTGTTATTTCTC